CCCTGTAATTCCGGTTACTTGGAAGGCTGAGGCAGAAGGATCGCCGGAGCCCAGCAGGTCGAGGCTGTGGTGGCTGGGAGTGGCCACTGCATTCCAGTCTGGGTGACAGAGTGAGACTCCAAAAAAAAAAAAACCTTCTGGCCAGGCTCAGTGGCTCAACCTGTAATCCCAGCACTTTGGGAGACCAAAAGCAAGTGGATTGCCTGAGCCCGTGAGTTCAAGACCCGCCCGGGCAACTTGGCAAGACCTTGTCTCTACAATAAGTCAAAAACTAGCCAGGCATGGCAGTACACACCTGTAGTTCCAGCTACTTGGAAGGCTGAGATGGAAGGATTGCCAGAGCCCAGCAGGTTGAGGGTGCAGTGGCTGCTAGCATGCCACTGCACTCCAATCTGGGTGACAGAATGAGACTCCAACTCAAAAAAAAGAAAAGAAAAGAAAGAAAGAAATGAACTAATAATTTTATTAAAATATGGGGTAGGGATATTACAATAATAAACACAAAAGGCTATTTTAGGGAACGTATCAAACCAGTTTTTGGGTTCTTTTTATGAAATGATTATTTGTGTTTGGGTTGTTTCATAAAATACAAGCAGAAATTTTTAATAGTCATTAAATAAAAAGTGGTTTATGGACCAGGCTCAGTGGCTCAGCCTGTAATCCCAGCACTTTGGGAGGCCGAAGCGAGTGGATTGCCTGAACCCGCGAGTTTTGAGACCAACCCGGGCAACTTGGCGAGACCTCATCTCTACAATAAAATAAAAAATAGCCGGGCATAGTAGTGCACATCTGTAGTTCCTGCTACTTGGAAGGCTGAGGCGGAAGGATCGCTGGAACCCAGCAGGTCGACGCTGGGGTGGCCGTGAGTGTGCGTGCCACTGCACTCCAGCCTGGGCGAAGGAGTGAGACTCCAACTCAAAAAAAAAAAAGTGGTTTATATATGGTACATGATTCAACAAATACTTATGAGCAACTTGAATGTGTGGAAGGTGTGCAGGTGTTATTATGTCAGGTATGCTACATAGAAACTACTGTGTCAGAAGAGGGAGACCTGCTGTCTTACAATATATGAATCATAGGCCGGACGCGGTGGTTCATGACTAATCCAGCACTTTGGAAACTGAGGTGAGAGGATTGCATGAGCCCATGGGTTCGAGACCAGCCTGGGCAATTCGGCGAGCCCTCATGTCTACAATAAATCAAAATATTAGCCGGGCGTGGTAGTGCATGCCTGTAGTTCCAGCTACTTGCTACTTGGAAGGCTGAGGCAGAAGAAACGCCGGAGCCCAGCAGGTCAAGTCTGCAGTGGCTATGAATGTGCTACTGCCCTCCAGCCTGGGCGAAAAAGTGAGACTCCGACTCAAAAACAAAACAAAAAAACACCTTAAAAAAAAAAGAATTATAGGCAATTAATATTCCTAAATAATATTTGTCAATAATTGGTGGTTGTTGATATGTTCCTTAAACTTAGGTTACTCTTCTTTTGCCTACATAGACAAGGTTTATTTTATTTTATTTATTTTTTACTTTTTCTGTGTGGAAGAATCACCTGAGCCCAGGAGGTTGAGGTTGTGGTGAACCATGATTGTGCCACTCTGCACTACAGCCTGGACAACAGAGTGAGACTCTGACTCAAAAACAAAGAAAAGAAAAGAAAAAATAATAGATGTGATTGCATTCTGGGGCCTGCTGGGACAATCCAAGATCATCACCCCCTCTCAAGACCCTTAACTTAATGACATCTGCAGAGAGCCTTTTTTTCATACAAGAGGACTCCCAATGGGGCCTCCAATTGTTAGGTCAGGCCTGCTGGGGCCGTGGGTGTCTGGTATGCAATCAGATGCTGCATGAAAGATGTAAAAAATTGCATAGAAGTTGGATTTGAAAATATGGTTTATTTAGAAAGTAAATTAGAGAGAGGGAGAGATTCACCACCTCTCCAAGGTAGGAAAGGGGGCCAAAACTTAAGAAACATGGCCACACCTGAATCTAGTAAGGTAATGGTACAAGGTTTATTTTAAATTAGAGCGTAGAGTATCCACTTAAAGGTAGATGTAGCTGGTACACTGTAGTTGGATTCTGGAGATAGAGAAAATTCCAGGCTTAAGTTAGGTCTGTCAGTAGCAACAACAGCATATTTTCTTGGAAAGCTGTATACCCAAGGCCCAGACTACATAGTAGTTGTATTATTCACCTAATATAATATTATTATCCAAGTTTTGTTGACTTCTCTGGCATTAGCATCTCCAAAGCTCATTATACATATTTATTTAAGCTTATCCAAATATGGGTATTTCTAAAAATATAAAGATTAGAATGAATGCATGAGAGCTTAGTACCTTAAAGAAGATTGATGGAGGAGGAGGGGGGAAAAGCTACCTAAATACTGGTATATTGAGATACATGAAAATACTTAAAACACAAAACAAAAACACCGAATGGTGTAATTATTTTGGGAGAGGGCAGGATGAAAAGCTTTCCAGATGCAGTAAATTGAGAATTTATCCTAGATTTAAAGAAATGTAGAATATAATCCCATATATATCTTTCTAACTTTAATATCACACACTTACTTCATTTTAAAATGTAGAAATTAAAGTTTGTGACTTTTCTTAAGACTCTTTTTTTGAGTGGGAGTCTCACTCTGTCGCCCAGGCTGGAGTGCAGTGGCATGCTCACAGCCACTGCAGCCTTGACTCTGGGCTCAGGCGATCCTTCCGCCTCAGCCTTCCAAGTAGCTGGAACTACAGGCGTGTGCTACCATACCCTGCATATTTTTGATTTATTATAGAGACGAGATCTTACCAAGTAGCCCAGTCTGGTCTCGAACCTCTGAGTTCAGGCAGTCCTCTCGCCTCGGCCTCCCAAAGTGCTGGGATTACAGGCTTGAGCCATCACACCCATCTCTTAAGACTTTAAGATGTTTTTATATTAATAAATCTTTCACCTAGAATATAATACCAAAATGTCCCCACCTCCTTTTTTTGAGTCTGGGTCTCACACTGTCACCCATCTATGGCACAATCACAGCTCACCAGAGCCTCGACCTCCTGGGCTCAGGTAATCCTGCCTCAGCCTCCAGAGTAGCTGGGACTACAGTCACGCTAGCACACCAGCTAAATTTTAAATTTTTTGATTTCTTTGTAGCAGTGAGTTCTTGCTGCATTGCCTAGGCTGATCTCAGACTCCTGGGCATAAGTGGTCCCCCCGTCTCATTCTCTCAAAGTACTGGGATTACAGGGTGAACCACCAAGCTTGGTCCTTTTTTTCCATTTTGGCATCTTTGAAGTGTCAGCTGTACTATAATTAAAGTCTTCTGATACAGTGTTTTCTGTAGAGACCTCTTGGTTTTAGTAGAATTTTAAAAGTTAAGAATTCTTCAGAGAAAATAATTATACTTTTGCCTCATGTGTATTAATTGAAAACAAAAAATTGGAGATGGTAAGGGAACAGCAGGAAAGGAAGTAATAATAGAATGATAACTTTATATATTGTACAGCATTGCCTTTAATGTATTTTCTAAAAATGTGTAGGTTATATTGAATTTAGGAAGACTTGATACCTTAAAGAAAATTGATGAGAGACAAGAAAAACTATGGTACCTATGAGATTTCCTTAGAGTACATCCTCTAAGGGGAAAAACTCAATTGTTCTATTTAATTGCTTGAAATCATTAAGTAGGTCATTTAGGCAAGGTTTCTCTTTCTTACATCATTTTATAAAGTGGAATTTAGTCTTATTGTTAGAAGTTTTCATTTTTGTTTATGCTAAACAAAAATTTTCACATACTATTAAAATATGCTAGAGATAAACTGAGATACTTTTATATACATATATGACTTTGATTTTTTTTCTTTGTTTTTTCAGAGTGCTGCTGCTACAGCTGCTACATTAGCACTCCCTGCAGGAGTGACTCCTGTTCAACAGATATTAACAAATTCAGGTAATTAGGGATAATAGAACCTTTTAAGATATAATTTAGAAAATTGTGTCATCTAACCCTTGTTTTGTTTTCACTGAAAGATGAAAAATACTAATATTTCTTTTACCATTTGGTTTAGGTTATTAAAATAGCTTTGAGGACTATAGCAAATGCAACTGAAATCATTATTAAAGATACAGTAGAGAAGATGAGAATTGCACTTGAGCTTTTGATTAGTGCATGAGAACCCTATTATTGAATGAAAATATGGTTATAAAGAAATGCTTGTTTATTTTGTTTTTTACAAAATACATTTAATCTGCCAAGTGAGTTAAAGGTAACTCATTTAAACTAATTTATGATATCAAACTAAATCATGTAGTACCTTAGGAGCAAATTTGTTCCATGCTATCATTATAATTATAAAGATTAATGTCTAGTGTTTTGACATATTAGTGTTTTTAAAATTTATTTATGACCAGACGTGGTAGCTCAGCCTGTAATCCCAGCACTTTGGGAGGCGGAGGTGAGAGGATTGGCTGAGCCCAGGGGTTAGAGACCAGCCTAGGCAACTTGGTGAGACCTCGTTTCTATAATAAAAATCACAATAAAAATAAATAAATAAAATTTACTTACATAGATTTTAAGTGTTCTCTGTAATCTTGATTATGTGGTTTTCTGTTTTGTTACTTTCTAAGTTTGTGCAGAACAAATTAGGGGTTTGCTTTGCTACATATTTTAATAAGATATAATATGTTCACTTTTTAATTGATTCAAGATTCTGAGTCATTTGAAGTAACATACCAGGGAGATTTGGTTTTGTGCAAATGATATGACATGACAGTGTTGTGTGGCTTTGATAATTGGTTCAACAAGTTTTTGTTTTTGTTTTTAAGAATTTTTTATTTAAAAATATGGAACGCTTCACGATTTTGCGTGTCATCCTTGCGGAGGGGCCATGCTAATCTTCTCTGTATTGTTCCAATTTTAGTATATGTGCTGCCAAAGCAAGCACGTCAACAAGTTTTTATTACATTCAAACACCTTTGAAGCAAAGTACTGTGGTACTTTTATCCAAGATATTAAATGAACAATTACACTTTTGGTTCTTTAAAACTTTAAAAATGAACAGCCTTGAAATGTCTAATCTTACTGTCCTTCCTTAACTCCTAACATATTAGCAAAGATTATTTTAAGCATTTAATTGCCGGAGACCAGCTCCAGCCGGGTTCAGGGTACCCCAAAGGTGTCGGCGATTTGGGGGAAGAAGAGAGAAAGAAAGAGACTGAACTCCAGTCTAGTGCAGAAGTGATGTGTGTTATTGGGAATTACAACGGGTCTTTTATACACAAAGTCAGATGTGGGAGGGGCGTCCCCCACCCACCAGAAACCTTAATCCATGAAAACTTAATCAATGATTGCCTTTAAACCCTTTTCATATGATAATCTTAAAATCCCATAACAAAGGATAACCTAATCCGTGACTGACATCTTCTATAAACCTTTTTCATCCTAAACTGATTGATTTATGCCAAGTTAAACAATTCTATAGAAGCTTAAGTATTTACTTTACAAACGAAAGTGACCCATCCCAGAATGTTTGGAATGTGGCAAAGTCCAAAGTTCACAGTGGGCTACCTGCAAGTAACCCAGTCGCATTCTTTCAACAAAATGGCTGTCTTCTAAAACTATATTCTACAATTTACACCTTCAATAAATCCTAAGATCATGACCCAGGAGCCTGTGACCAATACTAAGGCTCTTAGATGTGACACGCGTTTGAATTATAAGTTGTGTGAAAGCCAAAACTGCAGTTTGCGGAAGAATGGGAACAATGAGCTTCTAAAGTTAGCTTGTGTTCATCCTGGTCTCAGAGTTTTTATGTTTTGAGCTCACAGGAGCTTAATCTGGTTAGTGCTGAGTAGAAAGGGGGAGGAAATGGGGTCAAATAGCTCCCGAAAGCATCCTAGAGGGCTCAAGGTCAATGGCCCTTCCTGATTCCTAACGCTCAGTGGGCCTCCATGACTGGGTCTCAACACTTAACAAATTTAAGAGAAAAGAAATCATACAATGTCTGGTCTCAGATCACAGTGGAATAAAACTAGAAATTTCTAACAGAAAGATAACTGGAAAAATCCCCCAAATCTGTGAAGATTAAACACCACACTTCTAAATAATACATGAATCAAAAAAGAAATTTTAAAATGTTTTAGGCCAGGCGTGGTGGCTCACACCTGCAATCCCAGCAGTTTGGAAGACTGAGGTGGGGAGGGTTATTTGAGCCTAGGAGTTCAAGGCCAGCCTAGGCAATGTATAACTCATATCTACGAAAAAGAAAAAGAAAAAGAAAAATAAGCTAGGTATTGTGGCCTGTACCTATAGTCCCAACTACTCAGGAAACTGAGGTGGAAGGATTGCCTAAGTACAGGATGCTGAGGCTAGGGTGAGCCATGATCATAACATTGTCCTCCAGCCTGGGCAACAAAGTGAAACGCCAACTCAAAATATACATATTTTGAATTACATGAAAGTGAATTTTTTTTTTTTTTGAGTTGGAGTCTCACTCTGTCACCCAGACTGGAGTGCAGTGGCCGCTCCTGGCCACCGCAGCCTCCACCTGCTGGGCTCCGGCGATCCTTCCGCCTCAGCCTTCCAAGTAGCTGGAATTACAGGCATGCGCTATCACGCCCGGCTGATTTTTTTATTTATTGTAGAGATGAGGTCTCGCCTCCCAGGCGAATCTTGAACCCGCGGGCTCAGGCAATCCACTCACCTCAGCCTCCCAAAGGAGCAGGATTACAGACTGAGCCACTGAACCCAGCTATAAAAACAAAATTTAATAAAATTTGTGACATGCAACAAAAGCAGTGCTTAGAGGGAAATGTATAGTTTTGAATGCATTTGTTAGATAAGAAGAAAGATCTAAAATCAATAACCCAAGTATTCACCTTAGGAAACTAGAAAAAAAAAGAGTAAATTAAGTCCAAAAGTAGGTCAGGCACAGTGGCTCAACACCTATAATCTCATCACTTTGGAAGGTCAAGACAGAAGGATTGTTTGAGCCCAGGAGTTCGAGACCTGCCTAGGTCACACAGAGAGACCTCATCTCTACAAAAAATAAAATAAATTAGCTGGGCATAGTGGTGTATGCCTGTAGTCTCAGCTACTTGAGAGGCTGAGATGGGAAAATCTCTTAAACTCAGGAGCTCAAGATGTGGTGAGCCATGACCATGACACTGCCCTCTGTCTGGGCAACAGAGTGAAGACAGCAACTCAAAACAAACAAACAAACAAACAAAACCCTAAAAAAACTCCAAAAGTAAGCAACAGAAAAGAAATAATAAGATTTAAAGCAGAAATTAATGACACTGAAAAACTGTACAGCCACTTGGGAAGAATGTTTGGTGGTTTCTTACAAAGCTAAACATACTCTGACCATATGATTTAGCAATCACACTCCATCGTAATCATTCAAAGGAGTTGAAAACTTCTGTCCACATAAAATCCTACACATTGGTATTTGTAGCAGCTTTATTCATAATTGCCAGCACATAAAAGCAACCAAGATGTCCTTCTGTAGGTGAATGTGTAAATAAACTGTGCTAAACCAGACACTGAAATTTTTTTCAGTGCCAAAAGAAATGAGCTATCAAGCTAGTAAAAGACACAGAGGCATGCATATTACAAAGCCAATCTGAAAGGCTGTATACTATATGATTTTAACTACATAACATTTGGAAAAGGCCAAACTATGGAGACAGTAAAAAGATCAGTGGTTGTTAGGGACTGGGGGCAGGGAGGGATGAATAGGTACAGTATGGTCGATTTTTAGGGCAGTGAAAATACTTTGTGTGTTACTGTAACGTCATGTCATTATACACCTGTCCAGACCCATAGAATGTACAACACCAAAGAGCGAACCCTAATGTAAACTATGATCTTGGATGATAATGATGTGTCTGTGTAGGCTCTTCAGTGATGGGAAACAGACCACCCTGTTGGGAGTATTGACAATGGAGGGAGTCTGTTTCACATGTGGGTAGTGGGTATACAGAAAATCTCTGTACCTGCCTCTCAGTTTTGCTGTGAACTTAACGTTGATCTAAAAAAACTGTCCCTTTGATTTGTTGGAGTTTTTTATTTTTATTTTTTTAAGCAGGAGTTTGCTAAGAATACAGAAAAGTTCTCAAATGGGAGGGGACCCAAAAGAGAGTTGCCGAAGTTTTTTTAACTTTTAAATTTTATTTTAACATATCCTGAATATGACCCCTTTGTCTATTGCAAGTGAGCAATATCTGCTCCCATTCAGTAGTTTGCATTTTCTTTTCTTTTTTTCTTTCTTTTTCTTGACCCATAATGCATGGGGAAGGAGCTTGCATTTGCTCTCTCTCTCTCTCTCTCTCTCTCTCTCTCTCTCTCTCTCTCTCTCTCTCTCTCTCCCCCCCCTCTCTCCCCCCTGCCAGGCTGGAGTACAATGGTGCGATTGCAGCTCACCACGGCCACAACCTCCTGAGCTCAGGTGTTCCTCCCACTTCAGCCTCCTGGGTAGATAGGTGTATGTCACCATACCTGGCTAAATTTAACATTTTTTTTGTAGAGATGAGGACTTGCTGTGTTGCTGAGGCTGATCTCAAACTCAAGCAGTCCCTCTGCCTCAGCTTTCCAAAGTTCAGGGATTATAGGTGTGAGCCATCACGCCTGGTGCATTTGCATTCTCTTAATGTTATTTTTGATAAATGAAAGTTTATTTTAGTCTAATTTCTCAATGTTTTCCTTAATAAAAAGTGTTTTTGAATGTTCTATTTAAGAAATTTTCCTCCTACCATAAGTTATAAAGATAAACGTCTAAATTACTGTCTAGAAACTTTATTGTTTTGCCTTTTATACTAAGAACTAAAATCTATCTGGAATTAATTTTTGTGTAATTTATGAGATAGGAATCAAGTTTCATTTTTTCCTATAAGACATCTATTATTGAAAATATTGTATTTTCTCTACTTCTAGGCACTGCCACCTTTGACATAAATCAAGTATCCATATATGTAGATGTCTGATTCTGAACTTTCTAATTGTCCATTCTTGTACTGATTCCATACTGTCTTAGTTATCAATATCTTAATATTAGTAAAACAAATCTTTCCACCTTATTAT